CGGCCCAGCCTTAAACGGTGACAATTAGCACCATGTGTGTCATCTGGAAGATAGAAACCTACCTATGATTAGCATATCTTCACCTTTTAACACAACTTCATCATCTACCCGAGAACCATTTGAAATCTCTACAGCATCTATCATCTCTTATTTTAGCAGTTGTGCAAATCAACTGAGAGTTTATAAAGAATATGCAGGCAAAAGCCATGCTAAAATGGCATAAAGTTTGAAAGTATCCATCAAGAATATAGGACAAACTACTTAATTACCTCAAATCCAGGCATTAGTAAATTAAAATGTAAATAGGTAGATGAGTGTGAATGCATACAGAAACCAAATCTGTTACAATTTTGAAGCAACCTTCAAACTTCAGCAACCTTCAGCTGATGAAGAGGAAACTCAAATGTGTGCCGTGTATCATATGCACTGCACATTTCCAAATTGCTCACCACACCTCTACCTAGAAAAAAGCCAGTATGATCCCTAAATAACCTGGAGTATGATTTATGAAACACCTTTTGTATTACGTTGCCCAACACTGGCAAAGCCCCGGTCATTTGGCAACTGTCTGGTCTCCAAGGGGGGTTGTGCAGGAGGAAAAGGAGTGGCTGCCCAGCCTCATCTCTTGTGCATCGTAGCATGAACGGGCCTTCTTCCCCACACTGTGCTTCCAGCCCAGCCTCCAGCTGCACTTTGCTGGTGCTTTGTGGTCATTTCACTGATCGGGAGTAAGAAAAAAGTATATATTGCAATAGTAAAATAGTGACAGAGTGAGCAAAGTTGTCATGCCTAGATTGCTTTTTGAGGGGAAACTGGAAGGCAGGCTGAGGACCAGATTCACTCTGGATACAGCTACAGCTTTGTAGTGAAAGACAGCATCGTCGTAAGTATGAAAGACATTATATGCTCATATGCAAAAGCAGATCAGGAGGCTTTGTTTACTGGAAAAGCCCAGAAAGGTCCTTCAGCCCTAAAGCTACTTGCAGAAGCTGGAAATTCCTGGCAAACTATGGCAAGTCATGCCAGGCTATGGAGATCAGAGGAGTCTTAGAAGGAAAGACAGGACTATCAGAGGTGGGAAATGGTGGCCGTTAAACTGTAGACGGTCTGGATAAAAAAATATCAGAAGAAAAATTCTGGGAAGCAAGTTATTTCAGCCCCTGCAGGTATTAATTTTCAAACAGTTCTATGAAACATGAAGAATCTTTGCCCCAGTCTAAAAAAATGTGCCTAGGAAGTGTCTTCTAGAATTGGCCATTTCCTTATAACCCAGCTGGCAAAAACTGGCAGTGATGGTTCCATTACATTTGGAAAAAAAATCTCATCTACAGTATATATCAGCAATGTCTTTCCTGGCATGGGTAGATTCAACCTATTAGCATTTTTATACCAATAATACAAAGTGACAAGTTTTTTGTCATCTGAGTTGTTGCAAGAAACCCAACAACTCAGCTGAAACTAAATTTCTGAGATGGAATTCCAGACAGTTATTATTGCACATGTAAGTTTTTTAAAAAAAAAAATATTGGGAAGAATTTGCTACAATCCCAAAACTAGCAGAAAATATTAGAAACAACTATTAGCTACAAAGACAGATGCCCTAGATTAGATATCAGTTACGTACTTTTTATCATTCCTAGTAAAGATTATTTTTACTTTCATTAACGTCAATGGCTTTTCCAATTGTTTTTCTTTACTTAATTTTAAGAAAATATTTGTGACTGTTACATTCAGGAATATCAAAAAGATAACTATTTCTAAAGGATATGAATTAAAATTATATCATAGAGTTGGATGATGGAATAATTCTTGCCAGAAGAGCAATTTCCTGAGGTATAATAAAAACACTACCACCCAATATTAAAGCTTAGTGCTTTGGATTCGTAAGTAGAGACTAGCATGGTTATTTGATACAACCACAACACTGGACATCAATTCCTTGTGTGAAGAACCATATATTTTTTAAATGCCAACAAAAGGAAAACAGAGAAGCCAGTCTACAGTTTTCCTGTCCTGATGGACAATACTAAAGCTAGTTGCACCTCTGTCCAAAACCAGATTTGCCAGCAAGGCATCACGTATTTATAGACTGGAAATATTTCTTACCATATTTGAAACTTCTAGTAAATGTCATAATGAATAACACTGTGACAGGAGAAAGGACATACTGTCCCTTGGCAAGAGTCTGGGCAATTTTACATAAAATCTGTTTAGGGAGAGGAGCAGGGAGAAATATCCCAGTCTATTCAAGAAAATGTGGCTTTTACATTTTTACACTTGACATACAACAGCATGTGACTCAACTGTTCTTCCTTCAGTCCATTAAGTGACATAAGATCAACGTTAAAAAATACTCTGTATTTGAAAAAAACCCCACCATGTCATCTAGCAGCAATGCTTGCAGGACATAAAAATTGTCCTGAGTTTTCCTGCAAGAGCCCTGAAGAGTCAGGAGCAGCACCTGAGTCATTTTTATATCTGCTTAATGCTGAGTCTGTACGCTCCTGGTGACCCTGCATACAAATTCGTAGCAGACTGATTAATAGCTCAACATAGTTCAAGCCCACAATCTCTTCTAGAAGATGGTGTTCAGCTCCAGACAGTGATTTTTATTATCATCCCCACCATTTCACAGCCAACAGACAAATGCAACTATATTGCTGTTTTGGACCAACTACCGCCTTCAAAGCCAATTGCACTAGGGGAAACCCAGAAATATTCCATTACTGTTTTCAGAAATACTACTGATTATCTGTGTTTTAAATTACAGTAGCAGTTAGACCTTCTTTTTTCATATGAAACTACTTTTGTAATATTTTTCTGATTAGGTGGTATTTGATGCAAAATACATACCAAATAGCTCAAAAAAATTCTCTATTTTCCCTTTGCTATTCATAAGACAAACTATTTGTTTGACCCACTCAAAACATCACTATGTCTGTAAAGCTCATTTGTAACCATTTCTATTTACCGTTTCTGCTGGTACACAGAGGTTGTGCCAGTGAGGTTAGAGGAGGTGTATCTGCACATACCTTCTGTCTGTAGGATACAGCTCCACAGTAATGACATCTAAAGAGTTCCATGCTGAGATGGTGAGACCGTTGTAGAGGCACAGCATACCTATCATCATGGATTCACTGGTCCCAAACCACAGGAAAAAACAACTGATGCCAGAGAGAACCATGGAACCGCCTAGGTAGGAGATAGGTGAAATAAACAAGGAGGAGCTGTATTTAAAGAATGATCTTTGTTTTGTCTAATGTTTCTGTACACACAGTGTAGCTAAATAACTGACCCATATATTTGAGTTAAAAACTGAAGAGACTTCCTCTGCTGGTAAGACAAGTCAGGTGGACAAACATTGTAAGGGGTTCATAGAAAAAAACCTACTCAAATATTAGGATACATCATAAAGTATTAAGCTGGAACCGTCTCTGAACTCCCAAAGCAAGCTGCCTGGGGAAAACTACCCCCATTCTTCCTTGTCCATCATATTCTGCAATTACATGAAACATGTTCATATATTGTAGCAACAAAAACATGAAATGGGAATTGAATTTATACAGAAAGATTCTCCTAGAAGAAGCGTGCGAGGAACTACCACATAGTTATTTAAGTAAATTGAAAACAAATTTGTCATTGCAGATAATCCACGGAAGATATCTTTCAATGGTGTTACTTTGCAAAACAGATAACAGGCAAAGGACTGCTGACTCTTCCGAGGAGCTGCTCCACTAGCTGAGGGCCACCTGTGCACTTTCAGCTGGAGCAAAGACAAGGCAATGGCCAGCACTCTCCAAAATCTCATCTCAAATGCCTAAACAATGGTGTTGGAATATTAGTGTGGAAGAGCAATGACTGATAATGTGGTATAGAAGAACTGGTTACAGAACCTTTTGTTCCTAAAGTTTCTAAATGGGGCCTTTTTAAAATGGCACTTGAGGTGCTGCATAAATGAAGTACCTGCAGAAGCAGTCTTTTGCATCTCTCTGAATCAAATTCTCTGAAAAGAGAACATGTTATTTTATCAGGAGAGCTTTAGGTTTTGGTGTTTTTCCCTGTTTTAAAGTGAAGCCCCTACCTAGCATCGTTAATCGTCCAATTCTATCCATCAGGAGAGCGGATACAATATTCCCTGGTAACACTGCCAAAGTTCCCAGGAAATTAACAAAGTAAATCCAATAGGCACTGTAGTCATCATCAAAAGAAATCTGGCATCCTGTCCTGATGTGAAAAAATGTGCAATTTATCAGTTCGCTGTCAACAAATTTATATTGCTCGAGATCTGTGGAAAGAAGAAAAAGAAATATTTCAGCTAACATCCAACTCCATGTGCGGCTTTTGATTAAAAACATTTCAAGTTCAAGCAACTTTAATGACAACTCAGAGCTTTCACTGCTTTGTAAAATGGGACTAGTTATTGCTGTTAATTTTGGTACCTTTTTAACTTAATAGAAGAATATGCAAAGCTCATGAAGAAGAGCAACTAAGGCTTGCAATTAGGCAAGTTATACTACTGTATTTCAGCCCTATTTGGACTGTATTTGGTTAAGGCCTTGCAGCAGCAGCTGGTCTTGCATAAAAAGCATTGAGTTATCTGCAAGTTGCTCTCACTTGGTCTTGCTCAGTATCAGACCTTCTGTTTCTAGACCAGACAGCCTTTCAGATAAGACTGCCAATTGTGCTCAGTTTGGTTTGACTTCCTTTAAACCAAAATGTCCCTGCAGAATTCAGATTAAACTAGTTTTCATCTCTGAGAAGGATTTGTGGTCTTCAGCTCAAACATGCATGTGGTACTACATGCAATTGTTCAGGCCATTCTTCTTCCAATACCATTTCAGAGACCTTTCCCTATATTTCCACTTTCTTTCTGTTCCTCCTGTCAGCCCTATAACCCTAAGTCAAGAATACCTTCCTTCCAAGCAAAGAAAGCTGGGCATTGCTTGCTCTGAAACCTAACTCTATTACCATGAAGAATGCTGGAGTTATGCGAAAGCGGCAAGAAGGGCCTCGTCTTTCCAACAAGCTTAGTTGGCCATGTTCTACTTTCAGTTATGTTTTATTAAACTGACAACAAACAAACAAAAAAAAGAGTCTTCTGTTTAAACATATGAAAATATGCATTCCTATTTTTGTTACAATACTTAGGGGAGTGGTGTGGTAACAATTATAGAATAGGTAGTTTGAATCCTTGAACTGAGATTCCCATGCCACAGCAAGCACAATGAACAAAGTATTTCACCAGTCCCATTCAGACTAAATAAAAATACACTAGTTATAGCTACCAGTAAATCAGTAAATATTTTTTCTCCTCTCCAGACTGAATCTCTTTAGAGATGATTAAAACCAGAGAGATGTTTATTATGTGCATCAATATTAGTCCTGTGCTATCTCTAGTGCAGGTACAATCCTTTCACTTTTCTGTTATGACATTACGGAGGCCTGTTGTTTTTAATAGCTTTTTAGTCCCTACAAGAGGACTTCTTGTATGCCTTATTAGAAATCCAGAAATTGTAAGCATAAGGTGAGAACACACAGCTGAACAACGGATGTTCAGGGTTTTTTCTTGTAATACCTGTGTTGTAGAAGGTGGTATTCACGAAAGTACAGTTCCTGAAGTATGTGTTCAATGAAGTAATGTCTTCAAACACACAGTTCTTAAAAAGTGAATCTTCAAAGGTTACTGATTTAAACTTCATCATAATAAACCTGCCCAATACAAATAATTTCTGTCAGTCTACCTTCATAGGTTAGAAAGAGAAACAGGTCAAACTGATGTAGATATACAAGTCTAAAAAATCTCAGCCCTAGTAACAATGACTCTTTAAAGGCATTCTGGAGATGTAATTAATGATTAGCTGATTCTAGAATACTGTCATTCAGAAAAAGCATTAATAAGACAAATAGCTCCTCATAGCTACTGGCTACACTTGTAATACAATTTCTTTAATAATATTTCTGTTATTACTTGTCCTTAATCATCAACCAAAACTAATGTCATTACATACATTGAATAGCCTTGTAAAATCACTGTTCTAGCAGTAACTTTCTACCTCAATGTTACTAGACTAAAACAATGTTGTAAGCCTTTTTCAGTATAATTCTACCAAATAACATCATTATGCTAACAAAATAAAGAGAGATGTAGAAATACATCATTGTTTTTGTGGTGTCTTTTATTTCACATGAAGATGTGGAAAAAGCAACAAATGAAAAAGGGCAGTTTTGCTGGCAGACTCACCCAAAGTGGCAACAGTTTGAAAAGCAGTGCTTTAAATATTATATGTGACTAAGAACTGTTAAAATGACAAAGCCTTTCAAAACAGACCTGGCTCTGCTCTAATTAAACGTGGTGTGACTGGCTAAGTATTTTTCTTATTACAAGACTAATAGTCGGAATAGGAACCACAAAATAAGCTACCTATGAAATAGTAAGAATTAAACTCTCTCACCAATAATGTTGAAATCACATCTTTATGAGAAAGTAGAGCAAAAATCTAATTGTGTTTATCACAGGAAAAGACTTAGTAGCTAATGAATTCTCTTTGTGTACTGGTCAGAAGAATGGTGTTTTCAGCCCATTAGTTTTAATTACTATATCATTTCTCATTTGTGACAGACTGATTAAAATCAGGCTGGTGTTTAGTGTCAAGTCATTATAATTTTTCATATAGTACTTTCCATTTTAAAATGTAGCCTAATTCCAGAGGAGAACAAAGAAAATTTAGCAATTAGGTTAGTCAGTTGGAACAGAAATGACAGACTACATGTCCTACATTCTTCTGATGGACATTTTACCTTTGGACAGGAAACGTGTTGTGACTATGTTAACATTGGTGTTGTGATGATTTGAATTAAAACCCAACAGAAATGTAATGAAGTAAAAAGTCAAGTATTGATGGATCTTCTAGTTAAGAAAGAACATGAAGGAAACACTGAGATTGATGGTGAGTGGAATATTGAAATATTTGTGGAGGAAGAACATCAAATGAGTTTATACTTCTGTGGAAGAAGTTTTGTGAATCTCAAATAACTGTCAGAGGCCTATTAAATTACAGAATCACAGAATTGATGTGGTTAGAAGAGACCTCTGGGATCACTGAGTTCAGCCTTTGCCCTAACACCACCATGTCAACAAGACCATGGCACTAAGTGCCACGTCCAGTCTTTTCTTAAACACCTCCAGGGATGGTGAGTCCACCTCCTCCCTGGGGAGCCTGTTCCAATGCTTAATGACTCTTACAGCGAAGAAATTCTTCCTAATATCCAACCTGAACCTCCCCTGGAGCAACTTGAGACCATTTCCTCTTGTCCTGTCAATAGTTACTGGAGAGAAGAGACTGACCCCCACCTGGCTACAACCTCCTTTCAGGTAGTTGTAGAGGGTGATCAGGTCTCCCCTCAGCCTCCTCTTCTCTAGAATAAACAACCCCAGTTCCCTCAGTCACTCCTCATAAGACTTGTGCTCCAGGCCCTTCACCAGCTTCATTGCCCTTCTCTGGACACGCTGCAGCACCTCAATGTCGTTCTTGTAGTGAGGGGCCCAGAACTGGACACAGTACTTGAGATGCGGCCTCACCAGTGCCGAGTACAGGGGGACGATGACTGCCCTAGTCCTGCTGGCCACACTATTCCTGATACAAGCCAGGATGCCATTGGCCTTCTTGGCTGCCTGGGCACACTGCTGGCTCATGTTCAGCTGGCAGTTGACCAACACCCCCAGGTCTTTTGCTGCTTGACCACTTTCTAACTACTCTTCTCCCAGCCTGTAACGCTGCATGGGTTATTGTGGCCGAAGTGTAGGACTCAGCACTTGTTCTTATTGAACTTCATGCCACTGGTCTCTGCCCATCGATCCAGCCTGTTCAGATCCCTCTGCAGAGCCTTCCTACCCCCCAGGAGATCGACACTCCCACCTAAATTGACGTCATCTGCAAATTTACTGAGAGTACCCTCCATCCCCACATCCAGATCATCTATAAAGATGTTAAACAGCACCAGCCCCAAAACTGAGCCCTGGGGAACACCGCTAGTAACTGGCCACCAACTGGATTTAGCTCCGTTGACCACAACTCTCTGGGCCTGGCTATCCAGACAGTTTTTTACCCATCAAAGAGTCCACCTATCTAAGCTGACAGCTTATTTAGGAGGATGCTGTGGGAGACCGTGTCAAAGGCCTTACTGAAGTCTAGGTAGACAACCTCCACAGCCTTTCCCTTTTCTACTAAGCAGGTCACTTTGTCATAAAAGGAAACCAGATTGGTCAGGCATGATCTTCCTTTCATAAATCCATGTTGCCTGGCCCTGATCCCCTGATTTTCTTGCATGTGCTGTGTAATGGCATTCAAGATGATCCCTTCCATAACCTTGCCCAGAACCAAGGTCAGGCTGACAGTTCCTTGAATCGTCTTTCCAACCCTTCTGGTAGACGGGCATTCAAATTTGCACATTTGAAAGAGTAAATGGGTGTTTTAGAGTAGAATAATCTTAGATTGAGTGTTTTACAAGAATTTTCAGTTCAAATTGGTAAGGCCTCGGATGGTAGAGTGCTGTCAGTTACTGACAGCAAACGATTCTTTGCTTTTAGGAGAACATCTTCCTCCTGGAAAGGTGCGGAACTAGGAAGGTATGGCTAGTTTCAAAATGAGATAGCTGCTATTTTTTGTCTGCAATACATATACCTGTAACTGTGTCAAATCTCAAGTTCTTATAAAAAAATTTGAAACACCCATATCACCAAAACAATTAATTTTATTCACTTCGATATATATTTTCTACGGAAATAACGATTACTTAGCACTATGACTTCCAGGAGATCATTCACGTGGTTGTTCTGTATATTTGTTAAGAGAAATCAGATATCTAAACCACCTGTGTCTGATTTTCCCCTGGATTATGTAGTTACCTGTAAAGTCCAGATAGAGTCTTAGTATGTTTGGATTCAGCTAAAAAATACAAAAGGCATTGACAACATGCTGTTTCCCATTTCAGAGCTGTTCATATTCTTTATTGATTTACAGTAAAGTTTAGCTTTTATTTTCCTGTGATAAGATCCTAACCTCTCAATGTTCAGCATTTTCACAGAAGCATCTTTCATCAATATAAGAACGAGCAACAGAGATGAAAGTATATCCTTCCCCAGCCCCCTTACAATATGCCACATGTATTGGGTCAGAAGACCTTTGAATCACACTGCGAAAGGAAATATCGTTAACCTAGGCTTTTCAGTCCATTTTTCAGGATGACAAGGAAGCTGGGTTTGCATGGGGGATCCTCACACAGGAACCACCAGGGCATGTACAGGTCCACTTCTCCCCATGCTCCAGGAGTCATAAGAAATCAAGAACAGAGATAAATTCCCATTAAAAAGCAACAAACCCATCTATCATTAGCTAATGGAGAAAAATATTAGATTATTAGAACATGCTTTAAAACATGCATTTGTTTATTCCAGCCAAGTCAGGACATTAGGAAATCTTTAAACCTGTCATTAATGTATTCTCCATTGCTGTGAATCTGATTTTCCAATGTGAAGTTGAAGACAAAATGTGAAACCTCCTCGTTGTGGAAATGTTTCACTCGGGATGCATACTCATCTGACTGCAGATGTTTAATGACATCAGGAAACCAGACAGATAAGCCATAGTAGCTGTGAAAAATAGAAAAAGCTTAGTCACCAATCTCACTTGTTCAGAAATCTGTGTGAGGTGAGGGTGGGAAATTCCCTCAGCTGTTTACATTATGGAGCAGTTGTTCCATCATAATAAAATCCTCCATAAAATAAAAATATTGAAAGATGCTGACACTACAAGATGCCAGTTTTCTGAAGCAGATATTCTTAATGAGTCAGGTTTGCAAGCAAGAGCAGACTAACCGACAAATATAACATTTTGTGGAAAGATGCTGAATAAACCCCTTCCAAATAAAAGGGATAATCATAGTGACAGAAATTTGCATGCAGATGATTCTTCTGTCTGTTAAGTCTGTCAAAAATCATTTAAGATCTCAACCACTCTTACCCAAAAGACAAGGTGAACCATACAGCTGTAAGTTTGATCGTATTATCCTTCACTGGGTAGTTGAAGCACCTCATAAACGTCAACCAAATCTGTAAATCATTAGGAAATACATTTATTTTAAATTGTATTTTGAACAATTTTGATAAATGATAGAAGCTTTTTGATTCTGATTTGCTTACTTCTTCAGGGCATCAGAGAGAGCAGATCAGCCCTTTGATACTGATCATAGCTGTACTTCTCACACAAGAACGTTCATCTCCAGCTATAGCCAGGTTGTGCGTGTTCTGTGACTTTCCAGCTTCCTTCCATAGAATCATAGAACAGTTTGGATTGGAAGGGGCCTTTAAAGATCATCTAGTCCAGTCCCCCTGCGATGGGTAGGGACATCTTCCACTTGAGCAGACTGCTCAAATCCCCATCCAACCTGGTCTTGAACATTTCCAGGGATGGGGCATCTGCAACTTCCCTGGGCAACCTCTCCACTGTCCCATCACCCTCCTCATAAAAAATCTCTTCCTAATGTCTAATCTAAATCTATCCTCTTTCAGTTTAAAACTGTTACCCCTTCTCCTGTCACTACAGGCCTTGGTAAAAAGTCTCTCTCCATCTTTCTTTTAAGCCCCTTTTAAGTACTGAAAGGCCACAATAAAGTCTCCTTAGAGCCTTCTCTTCTCCAGGCTGAACAACCCCAACTCTCTCAACCTGTCTTCACAGGACAGGTGCTCCATCCCTTTGATTAATTCTGTGGTCCTCCTCTGGACCCACTCCTGTGCTGAGGAGTCCAGAGCTGGATGTAGTACTCCAGGTGGGACCTCACCAAAGTGGAGTAGAGGGGCAGAATCACCTCCATCGACCTGCTGGCCACACTTCTCTTGATGCAGCCCACAATATGATTGCCTTTCTGGGCCTCTGGCACACGTTGCTGACTCATAAAATTTTTTATACACTAGTGTGGACTGTGTCCATTAATTCATCCCTGCTCTGATTACCTCAAACTTTCCTAATCTCTAGGCAGCTTCATTTCACTATCTCAAATGAACCAGAGATCTTGACAGAAATTTTTAATTCTCACTTCCCAGTATTACACTGCTTTAGGCTTAGACAAACTATATTCCATAATTCAACAGGGATGCACTCAGTCTATCAAAATCTACCTGCACTCTATCAAAATCTACTACAGCTAGAAATTAGTACTTTAACTAGATGAGTAAAAGCTGGGACTACCCCCAGATCAGAGATGCTATGGCAGAGCGGACTGAGAATGGTGTTCTCCTCTCTCTCTCTCTCTCATTTCAAGATGATCTCCTCCTTTTGAGAAGAAAAGGCAGTCTGTCCTAGGAGCTTTCAGCACGCATCATGAAACAAGGAAGGTGCTTTGACTCAGGGGCTCTGACCCAGTGAGGTAACAAAGATGTGAGACAACCAAGATGCAACTCCTTTAAAGCTGGTTTAGTAACAAGGCCAAATCATAACATTTCATTCTTCAACTCCATTTTTGGACAAATAACTATAAAAGTAGATACTTTCTGGATTTTTTTTTTTCATAGGGAAAATACCTTTTTTCCAGGAAAGCTAGTTGTGACAAACCTTAGTTTACCACACTTCATTATAGCTCTGGAGAGCTTTAAGATACCAGATTTTAAACAGATGTGAAAAGCTATTTTTGACTTTTTTTTTTTTTTAATAAAGGAAAATTTTCTCAATTTTGCTTACGAGTTTCAAAGATATTGCATAATTTTGGTTTTGCAAAAAACTGAAAAAGGATACAGAACACAATCCCAGTGAGCTTGCATTAAACTCTCTGAAATAGCTCTAGCGTAGTTTTCTGGTAAAATATTTGACATGCCTAAAAATACATGCAGATACGATGCCTTATAAAAGTTTTATTGACATTCACTTACACAATTTATTCACGACTTTACCATTTGTAGGTAATGTGGCTGCCTCAAGTTCC